GTGGGTGTTGCCTTCTGACACACTTCCGGTGATGTCAGGGGGTGTGGCATATGCAAATAAGTCATGCTAATGAGTTATGCTAATGAGCTCCTGCACCTCTTTTTCTACAAAATGACCCCTGGTAAGCCCCAATAACTGAATTGGGATTGATTTAGGAGTAGCTCACAAAGTAGGATTTTTGCTCACAAGACTCCACAGCTTAATGGGAACATAGGTTGCAGGTATGTAGGCCTCTCTTTCGGCTCTGCTCCTGCAGAGTGCAGGGGGCTGGACTAGATGACCTGCAAGGTCCCTTCCGACTCTTAACATCCTATGATTCTATGACTCATGAAAGCTCCCCCCCTGCCACTGATTTTGTCGTTCACACCGAGGCGTTGGCGTCAGGCCTTCTCAATGGGGGAGCTTCTCAGCGCCCTGGACTGTCTCAGCCCAGCTACATCTCCTCCAGAAAGGCCCTTGATGATTAAAACCCATTTACACAGATAGCGCGGGTGCTGCCGCTTGCCGAAGGGCAAAGTTGCTTGTTGCAATAAAGATTCGGGTGGGTCGCCACGTTGGTCTGAAGCAAGAGAACAAAGTTTGAGTCATGGGGCACCTTGAAGACCCAACAGAGTTTCATTTTGAGGAGTAGAAGCCTTTGTGTGCGTGCACGCTTTTTCAGATACCAGTATCTTCTCGAGTAGCTTCAGATATTCAGGCTTTGTTACGTTGCGCAATCAAGGCTCCGCTCCTGTGCTCTCCCGCAGGAAATGACCCCTGGTGATAAAAAATGACAATAACATTTAATAATTCCTATGAACATCAATTTGTATGTCAATTAAAACTTAAGAAGTTAAGCTGGAACTATTTGAAGGAAGCAAAAAAAGAAGAAGTTAAGCCGTATCAAGAGGCTGACACCTTCCAAAACAATAGGGCTACTCCTGAGGATGATGGGTGAAATGAGTGTATAACCGGGTGCTCATTGAGGATGTTGGACTTTTCCTTGAGAATGTTAGAATTTCCTGAGCCGGGTCATTTCCTGCAGGAGCACACAAGAGCGAAGCTCCGGCAGTAAAGAGCCCAGGGGGCGGGCACATGCAACAAGCCTTACCCCCTGCTCCCAGCAGCCCTCAGTCAGAGCAAGAAGCAGCCAGGTAAGCTGCAGAGCCCCCCACCCCCGCCCCCCCAGTCCAAAACAGTCCAATGGCACCTTTAAGACCAAGTTTTATTCAGGTACAAGCTCTCCCTCCTCTGCGAGGACAGAGCTGCACGTCCCCCACCCCCCATAGCTAGCAATCCAAAAGAGTCCAGTGGAGCCTGAGCGGTGGGTGTTGCCTTCTGACACACTTCTGGTTATGTCAGGGGGTGTGGCATATGCAAATGAGATATGCTAATGAGCTCCTGCAGCTCTTTTTCTACGAAATGACCCCTGTCCTGAGCAATATTGTAAAAGTTTTAATCAGTATACAAATTGATGTTCATAGGAAATATTACATGTTATTGTCGTTTTTGTCACAGTGTTTCTGTAATCCCTTCTTTGGTTCACCCACATGGAGGTTGGCAAGCGTACCACTTCGGCCCCCTCCCCAATGCTCACCACACCGTATCTTCATGCCCCCCCCCCACAGATGCTGTCTTTCCAGCCTGTCTCGACAAGGGGCACAATGAACAGGAGTTCTTGGAAATCTTCTGCAGCCAGGATTTCGGTGAGCTTCCTCTGTCGTAACGGCGGTTGGCCGGGGGTGGGGGGAGGTTGGGGCCAGGATCGGGGCCGCTAGACAGTGGCCGGCTCGAGGAGCAGAGAAGCGACACCGGCAACTATGGGGGAGGGTCTGGTTGCCAATTCTGGACAAAGAAATTCCTGGAGATGTGGAGGGAGTGGAATCTGGGGAAGGGAAGCGACCTCAACAGGGATATAATGAGGAATTTCAGACAGACGATATAATCCGGAAGAGGAACGGTTCCCAAACGGTTTCTGGTCTGTCATTTCAAACGGAACCGTTTTAGAACCGGTTCCCTACTGGAATATATTTGTAATTTCACACACAAACGCTTCTGTCCCGTTTAGGAAACGGGGCTGAAGCGTTTTACCTGTCAACCGCTTCCAAGTACTCTTCAGTTTCCTCTTCCGGTTCCGATGCGCTTTTCCCCGCCATTTTTCGCCCGTGCGAGCAATCTCCGGCTTTTTTATTTTTTGAAATGTTCGCGTTAGAGCGCTATAGCATCATAACGGTATAACGCAACAGCATTATATCAACCCCATTGGAATGCCAGGAGTGTTGTGTTATAGCGCTATAGCGCTCTAAAGCGAACGTTAATTTTAAAAAAAACAGAGATCACCCGTGCGGGCGAAAAACGGTGGGGGGAAAGTGGGAAAAAGCGGTGCAGTCTGAAATGGCAAACCGCTTCAGATCCAGCTCTTTACCGGAAGGGGAAAGCCATGTGTGAAATGGCAGCGCTATACCGGTTTACTCCACGACGGATCAAAAATGGCTTCAAAACGGCTTCAAAAGGGGTAATGTGAAATTCCTCACTGTCATAGAATCCATCCTCCATCTCAGCCATGTTCTCCAGGGGGACTGGAAGTCAGTTATAATTCTGGGAGCTCTCCAGGTCCCACCTGGAGGCTGGCAACCCAGAAGGTAGAGGTAGAACTGGAGTGAGCCCCGGGCCACTGCTAAGTTTGTCTGCTGTGGGTTGGGAAATACCTGAAGATTTTGGGGGTGGAGACTGGGGAGGGCGGGGTTTGGGGCATGATCCCAGCAGCAGGAACTCATTAGGATTGGCTACATTAGGGGTGTGTGGCCTAACATGCAAAGGAGTTCCTGCTCCAAAAAAAAGGCCCTGGGTTTTGACCACAGACAAGGTAAACAGAATAAGAAGCAAGAGGTGGGTGTGGCTGGATGACCACACTTCTGGTAACACGGGGGTGTGGCCTAATATGCTAATGAGCTGTGCTGTCAGAGGTGTGGCCCAATATGCTAATGAGTTCCTGCTGTTGGGTATGGCCTGCTATGCTAATGAGTTCCTGCTGGGCTTTTTCTACAAAAAGAGCCTTGGTAGCAACTATGCACGGCTGGCTTCACTGTCGCATTCACTTTTCGCTTCTTCAGATCGCTGGTATTCTTGGCTGTGGAATGAAATGCAAACTTAACCAATCTCCTTAAACCAGTTTTCCAAGTCAACAATCACCCCACTGACATATTTTCTTTCTGCCAAACAGGCTTCTACAATAATAGCAGAAAGAAAACATGTCAGTGGGACGACTGGATTTGGAAAACTGGGATTTGGAAAACTGGGGAGCCGGATCCAGTTTGGCACCCTAAGGTCCGGCCCACGCTGTAGGCGAATGTTTAGTTCGCCTAGTGGGTGAGCCAGCCCTGCTTGTATTTGTAAATTATTAAAGGAGTGTTTATATACTGATACAACCACCTGGAGGTTAGCAACGAAAGGAGTTCACGGGAAGAGCTGTTAGGACAAGACAAAATACAACTGTGAAATATATAAGAAAAGCTATTACTTGTTTATACTTCTGAAATTTTCTTTAAAGCCACATACGTGGGGGGGGGGAATCAAACGGTTGCACTATTCTCATAAGGAATTTGACTGAAAATGTAAACGAGGAATATCTCCCAAACTTTGAAAAAGCATGAATTGCCGAGTAATAGTTTTCGTTATATATTTCATGGCTGTGTTTTGTCTCATCTTACCACCTTGGAGGTCGGCAGCCCTAGCAACTGCTGACAGTCCACCCTTCTCCCCCCCCAGCGCTGAAGATGAGCATCCGATCCGTGTCCGCCGTGGAAGGCGACCTGAAGGTGGTGGCGGAAAGCCGGGGCCGGACTCTGTACAGAAAGGATGGCTGGTCCGAGGAGGAGCTGAAGAAGCCGGTCCTGTGGCTGGCCGGCGGAGAGGCCTGTGCTTGCCAGGAGCTGGCGGGGCCGGGGGCCGTGGTCCTTGCCATGGGGCGCCGGGGCGCCGGTCGGCTAGTCATCTCGTGGGTCAGGAAGTGGCGGCACGGAGAGAAGGAGATGAAGAAGTTCTCCCGGGCCGTGCGGAAGCTGCGGTGCTAGGGGCCACCTCCCTTCCCGCCACACCCGCCACACCCGCCACTGATTTTCCTGTGAAAAGCCAAGAAATTACTTCCCTCCTGGCTCCGACTCAGGCCTGTAGCCAGGGTTTTTTTAAAAAAGTCGGGGGGCATTTAAATTTCTTAGGGGGCACTGGCTCATCGAATTAAAGGAACACCTGGCTCCTTCCCTGCACCGGCTGCTGCTTGGGGGCCCTGGGCTGGATTGGAAGTCAGGGGGGCCTTGCCAGTAAGTCAGGGGGCCTAGCCCCAACGTGCCCCACTGCAGCTACGGGCCTCCTTCGACTCCCCAACATCTGCCTCAACCCGGCTGGCCCGATCTCATCCGATCTCAGTAGCTAAGCAGACTCAACCCTGGATAGTTCTCGGATGGGAGGTCACCAAGGACGTCCATGGTCGCTACGCAGCGGCGGGCCATGGCGAACCCACCTCTGTACAACTTTTTGCCCTAACCTGGATGGCCCAGGCTAGCCTGATCTTGTCAGCTCTTGGAGGCTAGCTCACACTCACTCAGCTTAGAGGGAACACTGGTTGCGTCTCAGCATTGAGAGGGAAGGTGCACATTATGCCCCCAACAGCGACCCTGGGACGTTTCTATCCAATGAGCTTGGGGGGGGGGAGGTGTACAGTTCTCCCTTCCCCGTTGCAGCCTTACAAGGCAGACCCGTAGCCAGAAATTTTGGGTTGGTGGAAGATAAAATGTTGTGGGGGGGGGGGGGGGGCCATGCTTTCCCTGAACTCCAAGCGGCGAGTTCAGGCGCCACTTGGAATTCAGGGAAGGCGTGCAGCTGCCCCTCCCCCCCTCTCCCTGCAAGATTTAAAGGGCCTTCCAGCTGATTGGTGGGCCACCTGCTCCCGCCGATCAGCTGGAGGGCTCTTTTAATGTCGGGGGAGGGGAGATGGGCCGCAGCAGCTGTTGCGGGGCACGTCTGACGTGTGAGCGGGCAGAGCCCCGGAATGCCCCGCTGTAGCTGCCGGCCTGTTACAGTGACCCATCGGGGTGACCCAAGGTCACCCAGTGAGCTTCATGGCATAGGTGTTGAAAACTGGGTCTCTTGGATTGTAGTCCAGCACTCCTGCCACTCCAGCACCCTGCTGTAACCACTGCACCACCTTGCCTTGCCCAGGGCCGGCTCACTCACTAGGCGAACTAGGCGATCGCCTAGAGCGGGACGGCCCTTAGGGGCACCAAACTGCACCCGGCCCCGTACTCTGGGAGTTTCTTGATTATTTGTGTTTTTCATTCTTCGGCCCTGGGGATGCCCCGTTCTGTTGGGTGTAGGCGCAGGCTCCATTCTTGCGGGATTAACCTCATATTGGGAAGAGAGAGAACACACACCGGTCCTCTGATCGTCAAAGCCCTCGCATCCCTTCTTCTGTCTGCTGGACGTTTTAAACATTTGCAAAATTTGCAGTGTGTTTAAGGTATTAATCTCAGGTAGGGGAAGTAGAGATCTTGTTGACATAAGTAGCCTTCACAAGAGCCAGAAGTTTGAGAAGAGGCTTTCCTTCGCATGGTATTCAGGTAGAGAAAGTAGAGATCTTGTTGGCATAAACATCCTTCCCCAGAGCCAGAAGTGGTTTGAGAAGAGGCTTTCCTTCGCATGGTATCTTTGGTTCTCACATCAAATAGGTCCTGCATGTTCATGGAACTGTACAAAACCCTGAATCACCTGTTTGACCACAGTCACAAATGGGCTGAGAGCACCTGGTGTTCCCTCTTTCACTTTGCCTTTAACCCTCTGAAAAGCCTGTCAAATGTTACCACTGATGGGGTGGGATTCGCCGCCGGAATCTTATATTGCACAATGTGAGATTTGCATTCTAGTGCTATTTTGTTGTTAATTATGTCTAATTAAAATACATTTTTTTCAGAGTGCTCATTTAATTTCAGAGCTGGCGGCCATGCGGGGGAACCTTGCTGTGCCAGAATGCAGAAAGACCGGGGGGGGGGGGGGGGGGGGGAGGAGGCCC